GAAATTACCCTGGCTTAACAGGTTGTAAAACCAGTAGGCAAACTGATTAGGATTTCTGCCACTTTCCTTATATCCTGAATCTGCAACATTCGCCTAGATACCATGTTCCTGAACTTTCTTCAAAACTTATATTTTAGACGTGCTGTTTGTTTGCCTATATACGTGTGGAGGTAAATGTGAGCCTTCTGAATGTTCGTCTTTATCTGCTTGTCCTATGTGTTATTTGCCTGTCGCCTAGACTTTTACCTTTTTATAAACCTTAAGCTGTCTAGAACTGTCTAGATCTAGAGGTCCTAAATGCCTCCGGGACAATCAGGAAGGGACGGGTAGCAGCACGCTTAGAGGTCGCTAATTAAACTCGCTCATAACCACTAAAGGAAGGGTAATGGGTAGTAAAGGATATGATGAATACGCGCTAATGTCACGTGTAGCCCCTCATTGAGGAGTGATTACCGGGCATTGCATGGGTATGATCCTGTAGGCTAATCAACTTAGGACTTCCCTTTCCTAACCCCCATATGTGTTTAAATTCTATAAATTCCCTTTCCTTTAAATTCTATAAATTCCCTTTCCTTTACATGTACATGTGTAAGCTATTCAAACCTCTTACTTTCATTACTTGAATCACACATGTATTTAGAACGTGAAAATATGCCTTTATTTGCAAATATGTGTTGAAACTGTTTACTTGTTTAAAATGATTGATTCATATAAGTTCGGCTGGGACCCACCGTTGTGGACCTTGAGGGGTGCCTAACACCTTCCCCTCAAGGTTATTTCGAGCTCTTACCCTAATCTCTCGTAATGCAAACTAGTTACATGAGTTAATTATTCTAGGTGCCTTAACGCACCGTAATCCGTTAGGTGGCGACTCTTCAAAATACCCACTTCCCAAAAGGAAGCGAGTTGATCCCCCATGAATGTCGAAACCCAAACTTTCTCCGCGAGGAAAAAAGGGGGGCGCGACAACCATCAATTGGCGCTAATTAATGATCTTGAGAACTGTGCAGATGTGACGCTTCAATGGCCTCCGTCGCTTTATACGGTCAAAATCGGGCCTACCCGATTTTGCTATTTGATCGGAACAAAGGAGCTGCATCGAGGGTAACCTCGTAATGAATTAGACCCGAGCTCGAAGACGAGGCATTGAGTCCAAAGATCGAAGTGTCCGTCGAGACCGAGGCCAGCAGCAATCGAGTCTAAGTATGACCAACTTCGAGTGAAATGCAATAGCGGAAAGGCGAGATATCCGTAACCGGTCGAAGATCACGACGGAAATCTCGGAGCAGATCAAATCAAGGGCGGTTATTTGTATCAATCATGGGATTTACTTCCGTAATTAGAATTGTACCACAATTAGGATTCATCTAGCTAGTATATAAAGAGGGGTCCCCATCATTTGTTAACACCTTACATTCATACAGATCAAGGCAATATAATATTTCTCTATTGTTCATCAACTCACTGCTCTTTAACTGTTCTTACTTCATTACTCTCGAGGGTTCATCAGCTCGAGGGCATTGTCCAAGCATTGGTTTGTTTTACATTCTTGTCAGCTCCCATCATTTATCTCTAAGTTAATCAACTGGTATTAGGTGAAATCACGTATCCTTAAAACCATGTTACAAGTTTAATTGTTACTCAGTTTTTAAGGTAAACAATACTAAAAGCTTTTCTGTGACTAATCAATCTTTTACTGGTTTTTTAATTCTAATTAATAATCTTGATCAACTGGAGTCTTTCCAATCTCAATAGATAGGGAAACCTCTAATACTGAATTATGACTCCGAAGTTACAAAGATAGTTATATGTAGAGGTTTGGATATGAGGTTGATACTATCGTCCGCCACACGTCTGATTCTCTAACTCAACAAGGCTAGCTTAATAAGTGTATATGGAAAATAATTGGCCTAAATCAATGTTGAAAAAGAATATTTGAAAGTTGAACTTATAGTCCAGACGTGGATTTCACTTGAAAAGAAAATTAAAGTTGTGTGAGTCAAAAACATTATTATTACGAGATCACTTGTAATATATCAAACAAGTTAATTTTTCGTTTTAACTTCTCAAACAAGTTGAAAAGAGAGTATTGCTATCGGACTTGTGCGCCAATAAGTAGGACACACGCTTTCTAGTAGGCAGTTTTTAGTTGTTTAATTATGTCTCTAGGTTAGAAAGTCTCTTGGAGTATCATTTCTTTCTCTTTTTTTGTTTCTCACTTGGTGTCCGGTACCCGCATTGGAGCCCGACTATATCCGGATTCGCGCCTCATTCGGGGGAAAGCGCTCCCTACCAAGGATTTTTCCATACCCAGGGCTCGAACCCGAGACTTCTAGTTAAGGGAGGAGCAGTCTCATTTACTACACCACATCCCTTGGTGGTTGGATTATCATTTCCTTTATGATTGTTCTAAGACTTGTAGCATTTACGTACGGTCAAGCGACTGTATTTAGTTAACAATAATGAATATTACAGCCTTGTGTTAATTTATTTTGTGTGGACAACTCAAATCTTGGCAAAGTTTGAAAATCATTCTTATTTAAATGAAGGTTGCTACTACTAAACAATGAGGACATTATTACACCATTCAAAGTGGGGTTTTCCCTTTTATATTTTATTAAATGGAGAAAGTTGAACAAGATTTTAAATTCTATAAGTCTCCTTACTAGTTTCTAATCTTGGGAACTGTTTAGACGGACTGTACGGGGTCGTTTGATTATCAGTATAAAGAAAATAATTTCAATATAAAAATTAATATTTTTTTTATTTAGCGTTTAATGGGCACATTGTTTCTAGTATAAGCAACATGATATAACCTTGGATCGTGATGTAGTATTATTTTATACGTGATTCAACGTGTATAACTAAAGACGACTAAATTATCCGGAATAAAATACGTAAAAGATGAAAATAACATTGATTCGATTTTGTTACTTTGATTTACTTTTAGAAAAGGATAGGTTTAAATGCTTTTATATTATACAACAGTATATTTCAATTTAATGTAATTTACGAACTTAACGACCCTGAATAATTTTTTTTTTGGGGGGTTTAATACTCCTGAATAGTTATAGTCGAACATTTTCGGCACCTTTTGGAAGAAGCATTCTGAAAAAGTTTGACCCAAAATAAAAATAAAAAAGAAGATTGTGCAACGACAAAAATTGTGGAGATATTTGTAAATTTATTAAAAATCTGTCAGTGAATGATGAAAGTGGAAAAAATAAACTGAGAAATTTATTAATTGATATTTCTATCTTAACCAATTAAACAAAGAGCTCATATCTGGACGAAGACAGGCTTGGGAAGGATATTCGAAAGAAGCTTCTGAAACGAGGGAGGGGAGTGGGTGCTAATTAATTACATCAATTTATTAAATAAGAATTAGTCAACTTAATTAGATCGAACTTAGTCAACATCGAGGAAGGAACAAAAAAGATATAAAATAGGGTTCTATGTCTCGTTAGAACACCACAAGGCAACACTTATAATCGAAGACGTCCTGAATTTTGGATTAAACAATTGGTGAAGTTTATGAAATTTTGCTTCTGCCAATATAATTTTATCAATGGTAATCAATGGTCAAAGGCCGACGGACACGAGATATACTGTGGTCTGCACGTGCCTAAACTGAGTTGGACACACCCACGTGTCATACTTCATGCACGTAACACTTGACAAGGCCAAGCGTTCCCATTTGATTCCCAAAAACGCACGAGAAATCATAGGATTAGGAAACAACCAAAAATGTTTTGTGAATCGTAAGTCCTTTTCTAGTGTTCGATTATGGAAAATTTAGAACTTCACTTCCAATAACAACTAAGGCAGAACACTTAAATTTATAAGGATTTTAAAAATCGATACATGAACTTTTAACTTTCTTATTTGAACACTCGAACTCATTTTTTCTGTAACAAATAAACACATTTGACAATTAATCATGCGTGCGAGTATTACACATATACATATGTGTCCATCCAATCAGAAAATGACCAATGGATGTCTTACACGTCAAGGCCGAGAAAACCCTAATATAACAGATCGGGGTTCCCTCTTTTATTCCATAGACGACCCCCTCCCCTCATTTTAACCTCTCTCTAACCAAACCCTCCCCTGTTAAACCTCGGTTACCATTGGGCTAACAATCACTCACCCCCTTCTAAAATCGATCATAATCACTCATCCATTTTCAACAACCCTCGGCTCAAAAACAACATAGTCACAACAGAGTTAACAGAAATAAAATCTAAAACTTTACTTATTGGAAGAAAAATCATTTATCTCAACTTTTAACATCAGTATTGTTTTTTTAACAAGCACATCATAAAATTCTTAACACTAACAAATTTCATCAAAATGTTATTACCAATATTAATAAATATAATATATGCCCTTCGTCCCATTTTATGAATCGTTTTTGATGGAACATGAAATTTAAAAAAATATATTTGAGCTTATGATTTAAAACAAGTCATAAATTTTTGAATAATTATAGTATTATGAGAAATTTAAAAATAGTTTTCTTTTAATAATAACTGTGAAAATTATCATTAACACTAACAAAACAATACACCTATAGATAACACAGAGCCAGCGGCGACGGATTCGGCCGAACCTAATAGCTTTGATCTAAATCTTAAATATTTGTCTTAAGAAATTAATTGAATATGCACAAATTATAAAGTTAGAACGGAGCTAGAACTCCGCACCTAAGAAATCAATTTGACTGTTTGACAGAAATTAATCATTACTTTTGGAACAGTAAAATGGAGCCGCGCGAGTAGTATTTATAGATTGTCATACCAAATACAATGCCGTGGCAGATAATGATTGGTGAAAGCATCCTGACGTGTGGCTCGAAGACAAAATCAATCAATGTCAACGGAACAAGACAAGGCGCCAATGGCCGTTAGGTTCCATGTCTCAATCAGCCAGCGTGGCAGCTTCACATCAAATCAAAACATAGATCAATATAAAAATAACTAATTCCTTTTAAAAAAAGGATTAAACTGAAAGAGGCACCAAAGAGGCCTCAGCTTCATTCAGAGAAGAGGCCAAGCGTGCCATTATATGTGCATTGAACTTCAATGTTGAAGCTTCCCCTTTGGTCTTTTTCCCCATTGATGGTAGGTGGTAGTGGTGGCGCTTCGTCAGCTGCAAATGGGCGGCGGAGAACCCGAAAACGAAGTGGACTTGCCGTCTTCTTTAGCTGGTGTGAAACTGGTTGAAGCACCTATTCTTTTTTTCGTTATTTCTCATAAGGCTATTACACTTGAGCTTGCCCACATCCATCGTGTAGCTGTGGACGCATTGGATACTGGCTCACAAGGCCTTGAATTAGTTGATGATCTTAGCCGCCGGTTAGATTTCTTGAAAATTGTCTATAAGTACCATTGCGCTGCTGAAGATGAGGTAAAATTGTTGTTTCATTAATGTATTAATACATGGACACGTATATAAGAAATCTGTCGAGGGCAGCCTGGTGCACTAAGCTCCCGCGCTAAAAGGGCCGGACCACAAGGGTATATTATACCTACATTTCTGCAAGAGGCTGTTTCCACGGCTTGAACCCGTGACCTCTTGGTCACACGTGGCAGCAACTTTATCAGTTACGCAAAGGCTCCCTTTCATTATAAGAAATCTGTCAAATATCTATAAATATCTTACCGTGAACTTAGTTATTATTATATATTAACTTGACGTCGTCATTGTAGGAATCCATAAACTTTAAATCCTAGATCCGTCTCGAAATGTATATGAATGTTATTTGTTTGTATCTATGCTTGAATAAGGTTCCAAGTAATGAAAAGAAGAGAAGTTAAACAAGTTGAATTGAACTTCACTTTCATAATCATGGTTAGATTGTGGTCTTGTAGATTCTCAATACACAACCAAGAATTGAACTTTACCACAAGGTTGGTCTTTTTTTTTTTTGTTAAGTGTGACAATTATACTGATTGCTCATCGCTGGAATTCATCATCTTGTTGAACCTGCAATGTAAAGAGTTGACTTTAGGATTCTAAGGGAACAATTGAAAAGGTCCCAAACACACAGAACATGTTATACTTCTGAAACTATGTGTTCACAGTTCTTATCTGTTGAAATTGTAGTGATTTTTCACATATATATCTATTTTTCGCGTAAAAAAGTATTGGATTCAATTGAAACCATTGTACGAAGGATGCATCTGCCTCCAACTCTTCTGAGGTCCAAATGTTAATCTTGACAGGTCGTCTTTCTTGCACTTGATGCACAAGTGAAGAATGTGGTCTTTACATATTCTTTGGAGCATAAAAGTATAGATGATCTGTTCCATTCCATCTTTGAATGCTTTGATCGTTTACGAAAGGAAAAGGAGGATTTTGCCAACATGTTCAACGAACTTACGTGTTACATAGGTACCATTGAGACTATTATCTCTCAGCATATGCTGAAAGAAGAGGAGCAGGTATTCACGAAAATTTCACTATCTCCTTTTAGTTTGAAAAGTATTTCATTTTTCGCTCTTAAAGCCTTTATTAGTTTATAAATTTCTCAATACTTGTTTGGAAAAAAGTAATTCTGATTTATGCCTTGCCAATGGAAAAGGAGAGATTTACAGAGTTGACATGATATATTTCTTCTAGTTATATGGAGGATACATAGCTTTATTCTTAGCGTAGCACATTGCAATATTATTATGATTTTCACCAAGGGGTTTCTACATGCCATGTAAAGACCATTTGAAACTATATTAAGGAACTAGAGCTCTGATAATCTGGTCCTGTTCTCCTTATAAACACTTAAATTTCTAGTTCTTTCCGTTTATATGTTTTGACCTTTTTCTTTATGGAACGTTATGGTACTTAACCTTCACCGTAGATTTGCTCTAACAACTTCCTTCTCTCATTAAGTGAGTTGGATTATTTCAATTTTTGCTCTTTCATGTAATGGAGGGTGAGAGCACATAGGGACTGATCTACTTATATCGTTAACCCTAGTCTGATAACACAGCTCCATCTACTTATTTACAGCATTAGCTTAGAGTTCTTTTGTCAATAAAAATTGTGGTACATTACACTAAACACCACTTGAAAATTAAAATAGAAAAAGAAAAACTACTTAACATAGCTCCCCTTAATCAGGGAAAATATGAGGTAATCCCAGTTCTGGTTGTCTAAAACTAAAACAGTTCGAGTGCCTTGAATATGACATGTTAGTTCCTAACAAAAGATTCTGTTTTTTTCTTTTGCTTCCTTTTGGTCTCTTATCCTGAATTCTCTGGCATGTAATATGTGAATGCAGGTCTTCCCTTCGCTAATGAAGCAGTTCTCGTCCAAAGAACAGGCTAGGCTTGTCTGGCAGTACCTATGTAGTGTTCCCCTGTTGTTACTGGAGGATTTTTTGCCTTGGGTAACAACTTCTCTTTCTTCAGGTGGAAAGACAGACTTTCTGAATTTCATTCATGTCGTTTTACCCGAAGAGACACTGATTCAAGAGGTACATTGCAACCTGAATTTCCAACTACACAGTGAATAGTTTAAAGTGCTTAATCTAACAAGTTGATTTTTATTTTGAAGGTGTTCATCTCATGGCTTGATAAACATGGAAAAGGAGCTAAATCTCATTATGGAACAGCCAACATGAAGCACATTTTAAAGCTGGAAATGATGGTGGCTCAGTCCAGTGAAATGAAGCTACTGACAAAGCAGAACCCAATTGATGGTTTCCATCTTTGGCATGCTGCCGTCAGAAGAGATCTGAAAGAAATTCTGGAGGAACTACATCAATTAAGAAGCTCATTTTGTTTATCAACCTTAATGTCATTGGTAGCTCAGCTGAAGTTTTTCGCAGATGTTCTCAACTTCTACAGGTTAGAGTTTGCTCATCCAGTAACTTAAATCAGCTTGTTCTTATTTCCTTAATCATTAATGTAACCTCATCTTAGCTAGTCCTAAGAAACTAGATGGCGATCTTTCGTGAGATAGAATGTCCAACATCACTAATAGTCTCAATTCAGGTGACGGATGCTGTAACAAAAGTTGTTGAATGCTGGTTTATCATTTTGAATTTTGATAGGTGTATCCCAACTTCATATCTGCATCTTTTTCCTAACAGTTACATTTATTTACAGCATTGCACTGGACCAAATCTTCTACCCCTTGTTAGATGAATTCATCAAGAGTAAGGCATCTACTTTTCATGAACAATTTATTGAAGGAAGTCAAATGGAAGGACTACAGAGATTATTATACTGCAACCTACAAGGTGGGATACAGTTAAATGTTCTCATAGAAATGCTTTGCCAGGAAGTAGAATCATTTGTTGGGAGGATCAGCAAAAAGCTTCATTTTCTAGAAACAGAGGTATATTTTCAAAATTTTATGGACAATTCAGCTCAATGTTTATAAAAGGTATCTTGTAAAAAGCTTCAATATTAGCTTACACAATATTTTCACAGCAGTGCTATTTCCTGAAGTATTACGTACTAGTTGGAAATTTGATGTTATTCTGACTTCTCTTTGTTCCCTGGTTATCTGTAGGTTTTTCTGGCCATTAGAGAGAACTGCAGCCATGAATTGCAGCTCTGGTTATTGTACAGAAGCCTGCAGATGTTGCCACTTGGGCTGCTAAAGTGCATGATTATCTGGTTCTCGGCTCATTTATCTGAGGATGAGTCCAAACTGATTCTAAGTAATGTCTTGCTAGGATCTCCTGCAGTTAACATGTCCTTTGCTTCTCTCTTGCATGAGTGGGTTCGGACGGGCTATTCTGGAAAGATTTCTCTTGAAAAGTTTAGAAAAGATTTGGAAGAAATGTTCAGTAGCAGAAGCTCCTTGCTGGAGAAGTCATTTAATAGTGCTGGAAGTTGTTCATCACAATTGAACATGCAATCATTTGATAAATCTAATAATCTGTTATTGCAACCAGCTTCAGCCATGACATTAAACAACAATGTATCTTATCAACCTCCTCCCCTTGGCATCATTGAGAAGGTTGATACATCTTATTCTAACGGGATCAATAAGCATATATTTTTCTCAGACTCACAGAAAAACTTGTCCTTTCTTCCTGGAACTTCTTCCAGATCAAGAAATGACTTAAACTTCTCAAATCATGAGTTTATACCAATAGACTTTGTTCATTTCTTTCACAAAGCCTTGAAAAACGATATACAGTATGTTGTCACCCTCTCAGTTAAGCTGGCTGAAGATGTTGGAATTCTTGCGGAATTTCAAAGACGCTTCCATCTTCTACAATTTCTATTGAAGATTCATAGTAATTCTGAGGATGAAGTTGTCTTTCCTGCTCTGGAATCAAGGGTAAATCTCCAAAATGTTAGCCATTCCTACACCCTTGACCATCATTTAGAGGTAGAGCATTTCGACAAGATTTCCGTTATCTTAAGTAAGCTCACCAGTTTGCGAGGTGATGACATAAGTGATGGTGAGAAGCTTAAGTATAAAAGGCTTTGCTTAAAGCTCCAAAATGCATGCATATCTATGCAAAGAACATTAACTGACCACATCAACCATGAAGAAATTGAACTCTTGCCACTATTCAGAGAATATTTTTCCGTTGAGGAACAAGAAAAGATTGTCGGAAACATGCTTGGACGAACAAAAGCAGAGTTTCTACAAGAAATGATTCCGTGGTTGATGGCATCTCTAACGCCAGAGGAACAACACGGCATGATGTCCTTGTGGCGCAAAGTTACAAGACATACAAAGTTTTTCGAGTGGCTGGGAGAATGGTGGGAACCTATAAAGAGAGATGAGAGTGTAAATGTAGAAAAGGAACTGAAGGTTTCTCCTTTATTGTCTATTGATCCTCTGGAAGTTGTCTCTACATATTTGTCAAGAAATGGTGTTAAACAAGGAATCTGGAATGAGAAAAGATCAGGCTTTTCATCAGCAGAGTTTGTTAATTGCAGTATTTGTCAGCATGGAACTTTTACTTCAGATAAAACACACAATGCCAAGGGAAAACAAAATGTTGATCTATCTGAAGATACAACACGATTTTCTACTGAGGTTGACAAGAAGAAGTACACTGAGGCAGTTGACCCTGTTGCTCAGAAAGAGACAACTTGCCAGGGTATAGAACTATGTGAGAAATCAAGGAAACAGCAGAAGCACCATATAATGAGTCAAGAGGATCTGGTTTCTGTAATAAGAAAAATATCCTGCGACTCCTCTTTGGATTCTGAAAAGAAATCACACCTCATGCAGAGCTTGCTAATGAGGCAAGTACATTTCAGCCTCTGTCCTTTGTTTTGTTTATTAGGAAGCGGCCATCGATTCTTGTTCTCTTATCAACTGCATAAGCATGAACTATTATTGCATAACACCTAAACAATCATTGGTATTTTGACGATAAACTGAATTAATCCAACACCTAGGATGTCCAGTTTTCAGTTAAGTTTTTTTCTAGAATTTCAGCAAATATAATTGTCATCTAACCTTTTAAATGTCCAAAGTTGTTTCTCTTCACTTGGAAACAGTTTCCTTGGATGGTATGGACGACATACAATGGATAAATCTACAAGGATAACGAACCAATTAAACATTTAGAAAACGTATTCATAGTTTCCTGTCAAATATTGAGATCTTGCAAATAAAAGTGCAATTCTTTTTCCTGGAATTTGTGGATGTGTTCAACTTACAATGGGTTTACTCTTATTGAATGAACACTTAAATGCAAAAACAATGATATTTGTTGTTATCAAGAATTTCTAAATTCATGCTTCTGCATTTTTATGGTCTTTGACTAGAGCTAATTGCTTTCTTTCAGTCAATGGATTGTGACGCAAAAGATATCTATTTCTGAGGCTGCTGCTTCCAACGATATGGAGAAATTCCCTGGTCAGTATCCCTCTTATCGCGATCAAGAGGAATCCATTTTTGGTTGCAACCATTACAAGAGGAACTGCAAGCTTCTTGCTCCATGCTGCAAGAAGCTCTTTACATGCATACGGTGTCATGATGATACTACTACTGATCATAGTCTGGACAGGTGAGTGCCATGCACTGAGTATAAATTCAGATTTTTCTTTTTTCTACTTTTGAGATATCCAAATTCTGGTTATGACATGCTTGCAGAAAAACTATCACCCAGATGATGTGTATGAAGTGCTTGAAAATACAACCCGTCGGTCCTAGTTGCTCAACTCCCTCCTGCAGTAGCTTCTCCATGGGTAGATACTATTGCAAAATCTGCAAATTGTTTGATGATGAAAGGTGAGAAAATCAGGTTGACATTTTTCATTGATCTTGTTAGCACCATATATTGCCTTGAAAAAAGAAAAGGAGAAGGTGGACATGGAAAAATGCATAAATGGGTAATCAATTGGTAGGTTAAAGTGATGGGTTCCTAATTGGTTTTAGCTACTAATAACTAGTGTGATGGACTTCTTATGCTATATAGCATTATTGGCTGAAGAATCTTTCATCTTTGAGAAGGAAAAAAAAACACAAATGGAGTCCTTTTCCGGGCGAACTATAAAATTTATTGCCGATATTATGTCAAAATCTGGTTAGCAAATGAGGCCTTGGAAAATTCGTTTAAGCGAAGAAGAGGAAAAAATTAAATAGTTGCTGTAAGCTTATTTCATCATTTATATGCTTATGCCTGCACTAGCCACAGTGAAAATTTCCTCTCTCTTTCTGGCTGGCAACTTTTAACCAAAGCGATTCAGAAGTCCAGGTTCACATTTTAGGAGCTCTGTCTAAGTGTAATTGAGGATACAATTCAACTAAGTACAACTTGATAGACTTGCATTATGCATCTGTTCCCCCTCCTCTCTCCCCCCATCCCGACCTCCCAAAAAAAAATATGTGCGTTGTACTGCATTTCTTGTTCTAACACAACAGATTTTTGAACAGGCAAATCTACCACTGCCCTTTCTGCAATCTGTGCCGGTTGGGAAAAGGATTAGGGAATGATTACTTCCATTGCATGAATTGCAATGCTTGCATGTCAAAGTCTCTTTCTGTTCACATATGCAGAGAGAAATGCCTGGAGGAAAACTGTCCGATCTGCCATGAATATATTTTCACATCGACCAATCCTGTCAAAGCTCTTCCTTGTGGCCATCTGATGCACTCTACATGCTTTCAGGTATTAAGCTCATAATTTGTTTCTTGACTTAAATTTAGAGTAAACTTTCAGACTGTTCTGCTAATTCTTCTCGATTTTGTTCTTACTACTCCTTTTAGGACTACACTTGTACTCATTACACCTGCCCAATATGTAGCAAGTCACTTGGGGACATGCAGGTCAGAAAACGTTTTAGCGTAGAAACGTCTTTTACCCTTTTTCCTAAAACTGCTACACTCATACATTTATCAAATGTGTAGCTTACTTGGTGCTTAATTTCAGGTGTACTTTGAGATGTTAGACGCGTTGCTGTCTGAAGAGAAAATTCCTGAGGAGTATGCTGGCCAGACTCAGGTTCACTTTTCTATTTATTGATTTTCATGAATGGACTTGCAATGATTGGGTTAGGCATATCAATCCCTTCTGACAATAAGGTTAATAACAGGCTATACTATGCAATGATTGTGAAAAGAGAGGAACAGCTTCCTTCCACTGGCTCTATCACAAATGCTCCTCTTGTGGTTCATACAATACAAGACTTTTATGATCAAAATCCACAAGGAGTACGAACAGCTGATTCAATGCTCCCACAATGTAGATAACACAGTCGCCCATGAATGCTTGGAATGCATGAAACACTTCTGTTTATCCTTTCACCAACTTATGCGTGCAGCACATTCCCGGATTCTGATACGTTGTAAAGTTCTTAACAGTGAGGATGATGATCCTAACTTCTGATATGTGACAATTTTGACCAAGTTAGCAGAAATAAATAATAAACGAGACATATTTATTTTTCAAAATGTATTCCTGACATTGTTATATATTTTTCAATTTTTTGATGAATAGATGGTTGAGTCTTGAACTTCAAGCTGAGCAGTTTGTCTATATTATTCAAAACGGTTCTTGTTTTCATGTCACCAAGCGGATGAAAACTTAAGCATAATTGTCTCCTAAATCCTAATTCTATATGTCTATGTTTTCTCCGTATAAACTTTAAACTGCATTGATTTTATCAATCAACTAATGCGGTTGATTGGTTGTTTTCTTGATATTGCAGCACCCTCTTGGCCTCTTCTATTATCTGTAAGACCTTTGAGCATCTGGTTTCTTCCAGCCAAATATAACATTGCTTCCCTTTAATTTATGCCTTTTCTCGAAGACTAATGTCATTTTAACACTAAAGATCACATAAATCAATGTCTTATTGTCGCAACAGAAACAAAATCTATTTGTCTTGCTCATTCTTATAGAGAAATATTTGCTCTATGTACCAATCATAGATTATCAAGTGCTGTAGTTTGTGGTACTACACTATCTGTTATATCATGTCAATCATTATAGCAGCAGCAACAACAACAAAAAACCCAGTGTATTCCCATAAATGGGGTCTGGGGAAGGTAGTGTGTACGCAGACCTTACCCCTACCTTATAAAGATAGAAAGGTTGTTTCCGATGACCCTCGGCTCAAGGAACAGTGGAGATAAAACAACAAGTAGCAAATAATAGTAACAACAATATATTAAGGTAACGGGCGCGAATGACACAACATGTAATAATAAAGAACCATGAATAAGATGATACAAAAATAGTCCTAGTACTACTGGTAAGCCTAGGAGGAACACACTATTATCTGTCAACCTACAACCATAATCCTTGACCTCCACATCTTTCTATCATGGGTCATATCCTCGATAAACTGGAGCAATGACATGCCCTGCCTAACTACCTCTCCCCAATACTTCTTAGGCCTGCACCCACAATGGACAATCTCTCACACCTCCAGATCGGAGACTCTATGTCTCTCCTCTTCACATACCTGAACCATCTCAGCCTCGATTCCCGCAACTTGTCCTCCACAGATGCCACTCCTACATTGTCCTTAATAACTTCATTTTTTATCATGTCCTTCTGGGTGTGACCACACATCCATCTCAACATCCTTATTTCAACTACTTTCATCTTCTGGACATGGGACTTCTTGACGGGCCAGCACTCAGCCCATGCAACATAGCTGGTCTAACCACCACTCTATAGAACTTGCCCTTAATTCCAGGTGGCACACTCTTATCACACAAAACCCCAGAGGCAAGCCTCCATCTCATTCACCCCGCTCCAATACGATGGGTAACATCCTCGTCAATCTCCCCGTTGCCTTGAATGATAAACCCAAAATACTTGAAACTCTCTCTTTTGGGGACGACTTGAGTAACCAATCTTCACTTCCACTCCTTCTTCATGCATCCTATCACTGAACTTGAACTCCAAGTACTCATTTTTCGACCTACTCAACTTAAAACCCTTGGACTCCAGCGTCTATCTCCAAACTTCCAACCTAACATTAACTCCGTCACGTGTCTTATCAATCAGGACTATGTCATCAGCGAATAGCATACACCATGGCACCTTCCCTTGTATGTGTCACGTCAGCACCTCTAACGCTAAGGCAAACAAAAAGGGCTAAGAGTCTATCCTTGATGCAACCCCATCTCCACTGGGAAATGATCCGAGTCTCCCGCGTCCTCACCCAAGTCTTCGCTCCCTCGTACATTTCCTTAATCACCCTAATGTACGCTACTGGGACACCGCTAGCTGCCATACATCTCTATTGGACCTCTCGCGGGACTTTATCATAGGTCTTATCCAGGTCTATGAATACCATATGCAAGTTCTTTCTTTCCCTGTACTGTTCCACAAATCTCCTCACAAGGTGAATGGCTTTTGTAGTAGATCTTCCAAGCATAAATCTGAACTGGTTCTCGAAAATAGTAACACTACGTCGCACCCTCCTCTCCACCACTCTCTCCCAAATTTTCATAGTATGACTCAGCAGCTTGATACTCCTATAGTTATTGCAGTCCCGAATGTCACCTTTGTTCTTAAACAACTGGATCATCAAACTCCACTGTCACTCTTCGGGCATCTTCTTCAACCTGAAAATGACATTAAACAATCCAGTAAGCCACTCCAAGCTTGCCCAACCCACTTTCTTCCAAAATTCTACTTGGATTTCGTCAGGCCTAGTTGCCTTACCCCTGCTCATCTTCCGCATTGCCCCCTCAAACTCTTCGCTCCTAATACGCATGCAAAACCTAAAATCCCTCTGACTCCCTGAGTTTTCCAACTCACCTAGCGCGATGTTCCTGCCCCCTTCATCGTCAAGAGTTTATGGAGGTACTCCTGCCATCTACGCCTAACACACGCCTCTTCCACCATAACCTTACCATCTTCGTCTTTGATGCACCGCGCTTGGTCCAGGTCCCTAGCCTTCCTCTCCCTAATCTTGGCTAACATGTACAGCTTCATGTCGCCTCATTTGCCCTCAAGATCCTCATACAATCGCTCAAAAGCTGCAGTCTTAGCCGTCGTGACTGCCCATTTTGCCTCTTTCCTTGCCTTCTTATAACGCGTGTCAATCATTGTAGCGCATGCTAGAATTTGTGTTCTCTATTACAAATGTCTTCATTTTTGCCTTGCCCCAATTAAAACTTCTATGTATGTTCATTATATAAGCTGCTTTCTGGCAGATTGCTTTCCCTTGTTCAGTTTTTCTACACTGTAAACATATGCACAATCTCCTACTCATGCTCTTGACTTAACATTTAGGAAACATCAAGGAAACTTTCCATCAGAGAAAATAACAAATCTTCGTAGAGTGATCAATCGCATGGTTATTATAATGCTCATACATCAAGGATGATGGTACTCAGATTTAGCTCTTGATAATCTTTTAGAAAAAGGTAGTTCATCACAAAAGGATTGCTTCCGTCTACATCCCTAGCCTAAATTTGTAGGATACTATTAAACAGATAACCAGAAGAGATGATATGGATTTAAAAAAAAAAAAAAAAAGAATAAGTTAACATTAAATTCGGGAAAAGAAATAGCCATTCCACTTAGCAACTATGCCTTCAGGTGGTAGGACAGATAATGGGGTGTATACATGGAAGGATCGTTTTATACTGCAGCAAAAGACGCAAATCGTTGTATACAAAGGCAACAAGCTAGTGTCCAACTTTCTAAAAACCAAATATAGCAGGAGAGGTGGAATTAAAGTATTCTCAAAACGGCAGTACATTCTCGATGTTTTGTATCTTAACAAGACAAAATTTTGAATGGCAAAAGAAAAAGCCAGTCTGCTATCATTCTTCTTACATTTTCTTTGTACTCTATCAGTTGACGCTGGTAAGAGTGAAACATGCTGCAGCACTCTTTAATTCATTCTCAGCAACATGCTCCACAGAATGTCTCGTGTCTTTCAGTGATGATTCCGAACTGCACGAGACAATTTTTCATTTCAGAACCACAAAACAATGATAACAATAAGAATATCAATAATAACAACCAGTAGAAGAGTGCAGCTAAATGCATGAAAATCTTCTAAACTAAGTGTGTATCAGTATTTATTAGTCATTATGATAACACAACAGTTTGATAACAATGAGTATACCTTGAGTCGTAGGCTTCTTTAGAATCAATATAAGATTGTCTATCATCAATCGTGTCAAAAAACGGATGTATCTCATCGTAGTCGTGAGTAACATCTGGTGGAACAGAAATTGCTTGTGAAGCTGGCAACTGAGATTGCATGATCATTGTGTTGTTATTGCAAGCACTATTACCACATGATTGTTGAATCCATAACGAATTGACAGCATTATTTTCCTTTGTGTCCACAAATGTAGTGTTGTTGTTGTAAGCAGCATAGCTGTTGTTTGAGTAAGAGGGATAAGATTGGACAGGCAGTGCATTGGCATTGACAGCAGCATTATATTGCTGTGAAGGCGCGTCTTGATGGAACAGTGTTAATCCATTTCCATTAGAGACCTGAGGAGGCGGAGGAGGAGCAGCAACAGCAGGAGGAGGAGGCATTCCCAATTGTATATGAGAAACAGAATCACTGAGTGCTGTGGATGAGATCTCTTGTTGTTGATGCTGCTGCTGCTGTCTATAGAAGGCTAATTGTGCATGGACAGCTTGAAGTTCCTCCTCATATAGTTGAATGTTAAAGACGAGGTTTTGTATCTCCGCGACACATCCATACACAGGATGCTTATCGCGGGCATTTGCTTGATAAATAATGGATTTCATGGCCACCTTCTTTTGAGATGGATCAAGCTGCTTTAGTATTTTTAAAATGTTGCTGACCCCGAAGAGCCTGTGCGCGTTTTGGAACATTTTGGGTTGATCAGCTGGGAAATAGGGAGCTAAGGGGCAGTCGGAAGTGCAACGCCTCCTTTGGTACTTGCAGGCAGCGCAGGCTTGGCTGGTGCCACCCTTAAGAGTCATTGTGTGATCTTCAAAGCATCAAACGGACTTGAAAAACTTTTCAAGAATGGCAAAGTAATAGGAAGGAAGAAGGGATATTCAAGAATTGAGAAAGATAGGGAATTAAAGGGAGTGTGGTGAAGGAGTATAGGGAAGACAGAAAGAAGCCAAATGGCAGAGGATTGAGTCTGGAACAGGTCTGTTTAATAGCGGATTTTGCTGAGGGCTGGTGAAAGACTGAGTAAAAGTAAAGAGATTGGAAGAGAGAAATTCGGGAATGTTGGAGATGTTTGTTTTTGGTTTTTTCAAGTCCTTGACCGTTGTGTTTATTGTTTTTACTTAAGAGCATAGCCTAGTCCTCTTTCCCTCAGCAAAAATAGGACTTCTTTTCCTCATTATTTGGCGCACTTGTGGTTACATCCATAGTCTCATTAACGCTTTTGATATTATTTTTAACAGCGAAAAAAAAAAAAAACACAAACACAAACTACTAATTTCTAGCTTTCATCACAGCGGAAAAAACGAAAAGAGAAAATACAAACTACTAATTTCTAGGCTAAAATTGACTACAGTTTACATTTTGGACATTAGATTCTATGCATCAAGTTGGGAAAACATAGCGTTTTTCGGTTTTGATGTTATTCATATACTGTACCTAAAAAAGTTAAGTGTCATGGACACTATAAAGAAGGCCTAGTCACTTCCCTAGGTTAGTATTTTTCATTTGCTTAATGGTATAAATTATATATATAACATAGAATAAAACTTGATTCTTTATTCGAAATTTGTTATAAAGCTTTAATTATATTTCTTTAACGTCGAGGGCCATGAATCTATCTAACTATATTGTAGTGCCTTCTCTTTTCAACTCCTTTTTCGTAAGGCAAATTTTGTTCCTATAAAAGTCTCAATGAGGTTTATGAAAAAATAAACACAACACAAAAAGAGAGCCAGAGATGGACCAACCAAAACCTCCACAAAATTACAGTTTACCGAAAGAGGGGTATACCACCCCAACAGTGTGAAGGAAATAGAAAAAAAAATTGGCGAATCGTCATTCACTCTGTAATCACCTCCCAAGTGTGACACATGCTCCTGAATGTATTCAAGGTGAAGATGACAATGCCAAGAATGACCATGGATTTGCCGGCAAACTGGAGTTTTATAGCCCGTTTGACCAAGCTGCAAAACTCAGCTTATTTTGAGAAGTGTTTTTTTTTAAAAGTAATTTTCTCAAAAGTACTTTTAGTGAGAAGCAGTTTGTGTTTGGCTAATTAGTTTGAAAAGCACTTCTGAGCAGCAATTAGTGTTTGGCCAAGCTTTAAAAAATTGCTTCTAAGTGTATTTTTCTCAAAAGTGCTTCTCAAAAAAGTGCTTTTGAAGAGAAGCTACTTTTTTCTGCTTCTCCAAAACTGCTTTTGCTTCTCCTCAAAAGCATTTTTTTTCCTTCTAAAAGCTTGGCCAAACACCTCAAATGGCCAAAAGTGCTTTTGGTAAGAAAAAAGCACTTTTGGCCAAAAAGAAGCTTGACCAAACAGGCTATTAAGGGGTTTGATTAAGAAGAAAAAAAGAGTATAGTCAAACGATACCTAAGAGGGAAACCACAGATGACTTGTGAACATAGCAGAGCCTATCAGCAGAATTAAGTTCATTTGTTTACGTTTGCTGTCTTGCTGGTGTAAATTTGAATACACAGAAAATGCTGACAGTATGTTAAACTTTATTAGCTCCCTTCAGGGTAAGTGGGAGACTACTTCTTAGACTTCTAGCTGTACATATTTCAGCACCCTTAGTGCTGGTTTTAAACTTCATGAGATCTTTATCTTCACTGAATTATCTAAAAAAAAAAAAGAGAAAAAACTGGCAAGGGAAATACTGAATCAGTAGTCAGCAAGGTGTTTTCCTGCTTCACAAACAATGAGCAATTTTTCTTTCTTTTCATTCTCGTCATCATCTGTCATATACAAAATTCCCATCAATTCTAGAGCACTCAAAATTTACTCCCCCCTGAAGTGAGAGGGGTGGGAAGCACCTACTATAAACTGCATCACTAAAAACATACGACCATTATACACAACTTCCTTACATTGAAAGGCATTAAGATGCAAATTTCCTAGCATTTCCTGTGTACAGAAGCAAATATCATGTAAAAGGTACTTTGCTGCCATTTGGAAGTAGAAATCCAGACATCTCTCCAGGACAGGCAACTGGTAGCAAATGCATCATGCCACCTTATTGTAAGGATTTCCAAAAATTTAGAGAGCTGGCAGATGCAAAAACATGCTCCTACCGACAGTATCCAGGTATCAAGGGCATCGGTACCTGCTCTTGCTTTCCTATGATCTGACGTGTACCAATGATGAAACAGAGTTTTCAAATTGGTACCCGCATGCCGATGACTCCTATAGTCTTTTCATCACAACAAAACTTGACTGTATGCTACTACAGCTTGGGTTTGTACAGCATCTACATTTTCGAACTAAGAATTTGCAGCTTTTAGCTCAGTCAAAACAGCATGTGAAGGTAAGATCAATAAGTTTGCCGCTTGAATGGAAAAACATGCTGATTCACATCTGCAGTGCGGTATACGCAGGCATATTTTATAAGCTGAATTCCGTTTAATTGAAAAGAGAGGTATCATCTTCTAAGTCATCCTAATTTACAGCTTCAAAGAAGAGGACCTGCGGTTGCAAATGCCCTCTTTCACACATAACAAGAACATCATCCCAGCCGCCAATTACCTGAATATCAAACACCCCTAATTTACAAAAACTAGAATAATAACAAGACGAATTGGAAGAGGAAGAAGAAACTTTTACCTTCACAGTTTTGTCATCATACATGACCCACCGTCCATGATCATGACCGTAGGCAAAGCAGTGATAATGCTGCCCATAGTAGCAAACCTGAGGAAGTATCAAGAAATAAAGTAAACAACTTGTCAGAGATTTGTATATTAGCAAAAAATATAAAGTATTTCTTAGTAATAGAGAATCTAAATGATTGAATGTTGGAATGCAACAGGTTCAAACAGCGAATGGATAGTGAGAATTCATATAGCCAAGTCCATCTAGCTTGGGACTGAGGATACTTCTTGTAGTTATGGTTATTTTTTTGGCAAAATGGCCTCGTGACCACCTAAACTTGTACCTGTTTGCAAAGCCGATATACGAACTTGTAATTTTTCCATTTGAACACTTCTACTTAATAAAATGGGTGTTATAAACACCTTTGACCGTTGACTATGCCTATGTGGAGGAGGTGTAGATAGCATGGCAATAATGCGTGCACATCACTACTATAAGGCGCGTAACTTACAATTTTTTTGATTAGTTATTATCAAAGAACAAAAAGGACAATAAAGAAAAAGGAAAAAAGCAAAAGAACCCTTGTTTCTTCCGTCACCCCTCCCTCAGGTCCTAGCTACACCTCTTTCTCTCTCTTCTCTCTTTCATCACATCCCCCGTCAACTTCCGTTTCAGCAGCAGGATAGGAATATTCAATGGATACTCCTTCAAATCCAGATACAAAGACACTTGTTTAGTAGATTTTTTTTTTGGTCACTTTCTTCTCTTTTTTCCTCTTATTAATAAAGTTCTCAACTTCGTAATTCACAAAGAGATTTGGGTCTCTGAATTCAGTGACACGGGTCTCTGTTAACAGGCTTGAAATCAAGAATTCGGAAAAAAAATTCAAAACAATTTTGCCTTTTTGGTAATTTCTCTGTTGTGTAAATTGAGACTTGGATCTTTTTCGATAATACCATCGGAGAAGACGATCGGCTAAAGCGTTTCGTCTAGCATCTTTCTTTTTAGATATGGTCTTTGGATGGTTTCAAGAGTGAGAATTTCGAGAAGATAAAAAGGGATGATCAGAGATGGTAGGGACTGAATTTTTCTGGGGACTTCTTTTCCCCAGTGGTATGCCGTTCATGTTCTCTGATCTAGTTTATTGCCGGTGTCAAAAAAGTGAAGCCCTAGTATTTTTCTGTGAATCTTTGTATGGTGGTCTAAGTGAGCAGATGATTATGGGGGAGAAGTAATGAAGGAGGATTTTCAGAGAGGCATTTAAATGACAATAGCTTACGAGATTTTGTCGGCAAAATTTGAAGGTTTTCCGGTTGTATTCCCATAGTGATGAATGGACGCTTCTAGGAGAAGAAAAGAAGGATAAAGAATTTTAAATTTTGATAAATTAATTCTTATAAAATGTGACATACTCATTACACGTATCAAACAATAAAAGGCTTAAAATGTGACGTGTCATCTTTGTCAGCGCAGTTGAGGATCACGTGTTTGTAAGAGTGTTCAAATGGGAAAGCTACAGGTTCGTCTATCGGCTTCACAAATGAATGCAAGTTTAAGTGGCCACGATGCCATTCACCTATTTTTTTTATTCAGCAGGGGTGTCCGCCCTAACTTGTGCACGCATCGACTATTCTACAGGGTACCTAAAAATTAATTAGTATCAACATAATTTGTCAAGAGCCAAAGATGACTACCATCGGTTTATGTGTACAATCAAATTGGTTGAGAATGCAATATATGAAATAAACATGCAAGAATCATCAAACAGGAACAGGTGATCATCAGAAAAGCGGATGGCATGCAGACGGCCAGCAGCTTGATATCGTTTCATTTACAGCTTCTTAATTTTCTTATTTAGAATTTGAAATAATGTTAGCAGACAACATAAAACAACTTATCATGGACCAAGAATATCACAAAAGATCGAGTAATCAAATGAACGTGACCAAGAATAATGAAAATACTGATGATGCGATGAATTGGGACTAGATACCCTCAGCATGTCAAGCCACAGATTTTTTTTCAGAAGACTGATAAAAGAGTCAAAATAGGTTTACCACTGAAATTAAGCGATGTTTGTTTTTAGGATCGAGGCCACGGTAAAGTACACCAATGTCCACCTCAGTAGATAGAGCTGATAATGTTGCCTTTATGTCATCTACATTCTCACAAGTATTTTGCCAACCCAAAACTGAAGGAAAAGAATAGAAAAGAAACTGAGGACCATGTGACAATTGTCTTGAGATATAGACCACCCATGGCAGAAGAAAGAAAGGAACATCAAAAGAAAACAGATACCTATAGTAAACACATGCGGTGGAGTAGAGAGGATATGATGGATGTAGTTAAGCTTCCCACAGCCACCGACCTCAGAATCACAAGCCAGCTGATGGTTCATCTCAACAAGATTCAGAAGCTCATCAAAGGAGCTTTCTGGACACATAACCTGAAGGAAAGGACATGAAACTTAAACAGGAGAAAGTAAAATGCTAATTGACCAAATTCTTTCTTTATGAACCTCACAAAATTATTATGCAGAATGGAAATTAAAGTGCCATCACAGAATTGCTTTGAAGAACATGCCTTCATTGTTCGGAGGGCACTGGCATTAATATTGTGAAAGAAAGATGTATATTTCAGATGTCTAGACTCCAATCCACAATTGTAGCAGTTCATTCGTTCAAAAATATCCATCCCGAAAAGAGAATGTACAACACAAGCACCATTTGAACAATCCCACATGCCCATGCAGCTACTATCTGCAGATTCAGTATCAGACACACCTGAAGCTGATGTAAACGACCGATGTAGGCAATCAAATATTACACCCAGCACTTCAGATGCATCATTCATCTGACCCTGTAGATCAGTACTATGTTAATCAAAATTTGAGCCAGTTATTTTAAACAGGCAGAAAGCCAGTTATTAAAAATACAATTTCAGATTCACCTCCTGGAAAAAATTACTATCAGGATACAGGTTGCTGAGGGCAATTCTCAGAGAAGAAGGAGCAACTGTCTTTCTGCATATTTCAGTTGAAGCGGTGCTCAAAGCAGTAAATATGTCATATAAAGCACATATCACACATGGATCACCAACATGAACATGTTCGGATGCTGTTCTCAGAAATTCATCTCGAAATCGTCTTAGATGCCACAATGACTAAAGAAACACAATAAGAGGCATCTCAGAGCATGTTACATATGTTTATCAGTAAGAAGCACAATACAAGTGAACTCATCCTATGATGGAAAAAAAGGATCAGTCCTTGTGAACACAAACCTGTATGATGACATTTAGAAAGCAATTGTATTCCCCAACTTCATTCTTTAGCCCAGTGCCATATAAATCCATTACAATTACATCTCCAGTACTCTTTTCATTGCTCAAATTCCCAGCATTGGGGAGCAAAATATGTCCATCTCCTAAACTTGGCAGCAAGGGCAGCTTCTCATGTGCATGGAAAGTGTCTAGCATTATAAAAAGAGTTTAAAATGAGAATGAGGGAAGAGCACTTAATAAGTGGAGGAATAGTGAAATTGCTTCTCTATAAGAAACAGGTACAACGAATTCCAATGAAATCTCAGCTAGCAAGAGAGCACAGATATCGAGGCTGTTTAAATCTTCAAGTAACTGACGGATTATCACATTTTTAGAAGACATTTTTTGTTACTCCCTCCATCTCATTTTATGTGAAGGTGTTTGACTGCACACAAACTTAATGAAAGAGATTTCTGACGCTTGTGGTCTTAAGTATGCCATGACATATTTGTAGCAATAAAGGGTAAAATGGGAATTTAGTAAATTGTTTCTAAGTATAGAAAGGCGTAAGTCTTTTTCGGACAGACCAAAAAGGAACGCTCGTGGTCTTAAATATGCCATGACATATTTGTAGCTATAAAATTATGTCATTAAGGGTAAAATGGGAATTTAGTAAATTGTTTCCAAGTATAGAAAGGCGTAAGTCTTTTTCGGACAGACCAAAAAGGACAGTGTGTCACATCAAATGATATAGAGGGAATCATATTTTCAGAAGATTTTACATTGACCATAGACAAGGAAAGAGAGAAGGTACATCAGGCATATGTTCAGATTACTTTTATAACAGTGGTAAAAACTAAAAACAGATGCAGAACAGCCCAAATGAATTAGCATCAAACTACTTTCAGAGAGCCAGTGACTGTAAAAGAAAGATAAATATGCATACCAAGGCTTTGCCGAACGGCCTTCTTAAGGTCAGCTTGGAACCTTTCTTCATCATCCTCCTCCACATGTAGCTGTCTCAATGTCTTTGTTCCACTATTTGCTGAACCGTTATTTTCTAGTATTGAAATCAAAGCTAGATCAACTCAGAGGATGCATCATACTGAATTGTTCATAAACAGAATCCACAAACACAAGGTAAAATAAATTGAGGCGATAACAAAACTACACGGAAAAGGAAAAGCAGCTATCTCCACCCACCAGTTTGGCTTTTCATTTGTTGGGGAAGGGTGACGAAAGTAAGAGGGGTTAGGCCCAATAACTAACTGGCCCCAAATTGACTGTAACTGCACAGTTTCCTCTTCCCAATTGCAGATACAATTGGATAAAATTGTCCCACTGTATAGATACAACATTAACATGCCTACTTGAAGATATAGTTAAGCAATAACAGAACTCCACTGTTATATCCATGAAACAAGAAAGAATTAAACGACTGACGAAATGGAAAGAGCTGGCAAGGATCATCGAGGACTAACTTGGTGGTAACTAATTTGTCGAATATGCAAATACAGATATGTGGTTATCAAATTAGAAAGCAGCACTACGAGAGCTCTTCAGATCAACTAGCAAAGTATCGAGTCTTTACAGCCATAGGACAGTTAATAACTTGTATACAGGGTTTCCCCCACTTGTTAATAATATGATTTACCTTATATAAAAAAAACAGTTAATAACTTGCCAATTAACTCCAACTAAATTGAAATAAGCTTTCTGTGCTATGCTCCTGAAATATAGTGTGTTTTCAACTAGATCCTTTGGTCGAAAAAACTATCATCCTTTCTCGAGGCTTGGGTCTGGTTGACTCATTTACAAGACATGCGGATTTGATACTTGTCAACAATCCACCGGCTTCTACCCAAGGTAGCAGTTGGGCCCAAAATTCACAAGCAAATTTAGCAAACTACAGAATACACGCTAAAATTAGAAAACAAATATATAAACTGCAGAAAACTGGGATTTCTTCAGGGCCAGCAAATCAAGGCACTACAGAATAGTTAAGTAAACAATAGTAACTCACCAGGTGAAGCATCCAGAGCTCTTGGTTCACCAACTTCAGTATTTTCCCTTTCGGCAGAAGCAGACTGAAACTTCCCATCAATAAGCTTAGAATCTTTCTGACGTCTGCCTCTCCTTCCAGAGCGTCGGGCAGATATCAGAGTACTATCCTCTGGAATTCCCTCATTTGACACTCCTGAGCGAGAGAAAAAATAGTATATAAAATTCATGTGACATCCTAACAGTGGCACTGCATGGCCAAGGGGTTCTTTTAGCTGGCACAAATTGTTCCTGACATTGACCAAGGGCCTTACCAGTATTTTGTGTCATTCCTTCAGCACTGTGCTTTGGGACTTCTAAACTGTCCGGAAATCCATTCTTCTGCATCAAGGATTCCAAAATTAGCAAGACATATTACAATCAATTAATTCGTCCTAAAATTTAGAGAAGCATATCCTTCAAGAGTAACACCTAACATTCAATGACTTTCATTTTACAGAACGGAGAATAGAAACGGGAAACTCTCACACAGATAGGAGAATCCAAGCATAGGAGTATTGACCTTCTTAGTACTCTTCCATTGCTCATTGATTTCTTGACCATTATCACTGTGCTTGTAAATATCAGACTTAATAATTGCATCCATACTTCCTGAAACTGCTTTTGTGGTTCTCTTATTTTGTTCGGCCAGATGCTTCAGTTTAGCCTCATTCTCCATTCGTCTTTGATATTCCAAAGTTTCTTCAAGCTTTCTTTCCTCTGCTTCAAGTTCAATTCTACGTCTATACTCCTGTTCATCCAAGGAATCACCATTTCCAACAGTTTCATCACCTTGATCTTCTCCATCATGAGTAACTGCAAATGAGCTGCAACAGCACAGGTTTTTGCAGATATTAAAGGCCATCATGCTTTCTGCATAACATGGAGTTCAAGCTAATGGGAAAGGCATTTCTTTAAAAAAAGACATACCCATCTGCCATAGTCTGATGGCGAAGCAAATGCAGTTCATTACCACTAGGAGGCTGCACAAGTGAGAGTAAACTGATTATCTTCCAACTAGTATACACTAACAATTGCATCAGAAACAAAAGTCAACCTTTGAATCCTTGGTTTTCCGATATTCTTTATTCTTTTTCTTATCCTTAATTTTGTCATGTGTATGTTTAGAATAACCATTGCCTCCGATGGAACTGTTTTTAGAATCACGATCAAGTTCAGCCAGAAAAGCTTCCCTCGCAGCATCAGATTTCTCGGTAGCATCCTTCTCAGCCAGATCCTCCAAATTTGCCTGAAGAAAGAGAAAGTTAATCATCATCAGAAAAGAATAGTAAAACAGGTAAATGCTAGAAATAAAGTAAGAGAGAGATCACAGTAACAGATCCCAGAAGCAATAAAGGAACTATCACAAAAGTAGATGCCAAGTACACACCCGCATAAATGATTTCAACAGTGTCACTAAAATCCTCCGATAATCCTGAGCAGATGCATGCTCAAGCTTTACTTTCAGCCGCTGCATCCCGGCAACCACTCGCATGATCCGAGCGTCTATCTTACTCAGCTAAATTCGGGAAATTGAAAGACAAGAAATCAAGTAAAGAAAAAATGGAAATTCATTAAATAAATAAACAAATCAGCAGTAAACCATAGTTGATGCACCAACCTCAATGGAGACATGTTCCTTCTGTCTCTGTAGTGCAACTTCCACACAAGAGTCCACCTGATGAAGGTAGTCCTTCAGTCTCCAGTCTTCCTCTTCACCAGATTCGAGGTCACATAAGTGAGATGTTCCACCAATGTAAGTTTCCTCAAAACCAAACCGACTGCCATTGAGAGACTCTGCTTCCTTCAGAACATTTGATATAGCATCCAACTCAAACCTACTGCCGATAAACGTAACTTCATTTTCACTTTCTATGAGCTCTTCTCGCCGCTTCCGCAAGACAGAATCATAACTTCGTCGGACAAATTCTATTGCATGTTCTCTTTTCCTACCCTCTTCTGAACAAAGATCTTCCACTGCCTGCAGTGCTTCCTCGTAACTTAAATGCTCATATTTTCTCTCACATAAACCCTGGAGGTCATAAAACTCCTTCTCAAGAAAGCGAAGAATTTCCATACCTTGTTGTGCTTTCTCTTCTCTTGCACGTACCCAGGATGCCAGTTGTTCCAGACTTGAAGGACCGGTGAATATCCAGGACAACAATGCAGCGGAATCAAGTTCAGCTCCATTCTGGTGCTGATTACTAGACAAAACATATGCAGCTCTGTCAATAGAAACTGTATCTGGACATGAACTGGGAGTAACTTTGCAAGGCAGGAAATGCTCATCAAACAATAAACATGAACCATCTTCACTGAAAACTACTTTCTCCAGGTCGTCAAATCCTTGACTAGCATTGCTTGCTCCATCACTAGCACTAATTTTCTCAGAATACCTACCTAAGCCACAACAATGAGAAAGCTCTTGCAGAAACTTTAGCACCTTTTTTAATTCTTGGGCATCCAGAAAGCAGATGCATAAGGGAGTTTGATCAACATTGTAGTTAAGAAGTTGAGAGCCAAAAGCAAGACCCTGAAGCTCTTCCACTGCAAAATGAACAACCTTGCTGAGGTGACTTGAAGCAAGATATTTATTTCCAATAAGAGTCTGGAATATAGCATGAATTCTTTCAAGAAGCTTTGCTCGGTCGGGATCATCAGATAGTGGCCACTTGTCAGGAAGGAAACAATTCTTAGTACCATTGTTTCCATCGCAATCCATCAACTCAATGTCTGATTTTTTATCATATTCTCTGCTCTCAACCCTATATCCGTTTGTTCTATCCCCTAATTTTTTCTTTCTAGGTGACGAATCCCATTCGTCTTCGTTACAGAAAACATCAGAAAAGTCATCCTTAGACTCTTCTGTGTTATCTCTTGGGTGTGTCTCATCAAGAAAACCATGTTCTTGAGATCTTGATTGTTCATCAAGCATCTTTGCTGCCGCACTAACATCTAACGGTTTCCAAGGACAATTCAGAAGCATCTCTGCCCACTCGTTCTCCACATTCTGAGGCAAAACAGACTGCAATTTAGGCAGCAAAGTTCCAATGTGCTCATGCACAACATGATGGTTGTGCGATTCAGAGTCGACAAATTTTTCACCACAGCGGCAACATGCCCAAAACTTCCAATCTTTATTGGTTTCAGCAAATGATAGAGCCTCAGATAGCACTTCATTAGCCAATCCGTCTTTTGATGCATTTAAATGAGCCTTGAGATCTGAAATTGTAATTCTAAGCAACTCTTTCTTCCAGTCCAAAGTCATGGAGTTCCAATATGACTGCACCCAATTCTCTCTCTCTGTGGAAGACGCATTTTTCCTTGCATTACTGCTCTTCCTCCTCTCACTAATTCTCTGCCCTGATCCTGTTGTCAGATCCGAAGCTTTATCTACATCATTGTCTGTCTCGACAGTTTCAGACTTCTGTTGCAACAGCCTTGCAGCAGCCACCCGGACTTCAATCTCCTTCCTCCTCTCTTCCGGTGTCTTAGTCGCCTTTTTAATCTCATTTGGCCTTCTTGCTTGAACCAACCTCAGCTCCATTGGGTCCTCGGACACCCTCCTAATCGGGATCAACCTGAATTTTTCCTCACCATTGCCTATATGCTTCATCCAAGTAGATATGGAAGCAATGTTTGACTTCTGAATTAAACCTCGGAGCTCATTCTGTACATGCTCAATCCGAGCATGAGGTGTCTCAACCTTCTGTTGGCTCTCCTCCTGTAAGCTCTCTTTTGCAGGATCTACGGGGTTCTCAATTGCCAATGCCCTTTCACACTCCTGTACAACTTCCTCATATTCCTTCCCCTCATTTGCGGCCTCATATAACAAATTAGCATAGAAATGCGCAAACTCGATTGAGTTCGGAGACATTGATACTGCTTTCCTAGCACTCTCAATAGCATTCTTCAAATGCCTATGTTTAGCATTGGGGTCATCAATCACGGAAGCCACTTTAACACAAACAGTGCCCTGGACACGATGAATCAGAGCCGTGTAAGGCGAGTTGTCATGCTTGCTGGACAGCTCCTTCATCAATCTTAGGGCTTTTGTATGGTTTCCCCGACGCAGGGATGTTAGGGCACGCTCGCATTCAAGCTTAATTGAAGCATAAGAAGCTGAGAAGGCATTCTTCTCACCTTCAGCAACCGCCGAAGCATCCTTCTTGCTCGACGGCTTCTTCCGAACTGCTGGACTTACCGAGACTAGGTTTAGGTCCGATTCAAGCAGCTCAATTTCCGCATCGTCGGGTACAGGTAGAACCGCCACCGGCGCAGCCGAGGGTTTGGAACGAGGAGCGACGGTTCGCTTCTTATGCACCATTAATTTGTTCTATAGCAATTCAATCGTATGCATATACATATAATATATCTCATGCGCCTAAAAACCTATAAATATGTATATATCTATATTTACGGAAATCCTATCTCAGTATCTCCAATTGAACAGATATAATAGCCTCTATACAAATAGAAAGAGATAAGGGAGACTTACTGGTGTTGAGTAATAGAATGTGAGAGTTACGTCGGAATCGGAGTAACGATTATCGATCGCCGAATTGAAGGTGTGTTTTTGTATGTATAGGTAAGTACGTACAGAGAGTGAGTCTCTGTTTCGCTCTATATCTGTGTTTGTGTGTATACACCTAACAAACAAAAGGGAGTAATGGGGTGGGTAACGAGGGGGGGTGGATAGCGTGAGGGGCGATGTCTGGGAAGTTGTGTCCTGACTCCTCAGCAACTCTTCAGTCTTTGTTGGCATGAGGAGAAAATGGAGATTTTATGATTTTTTGTTCTCACTTACTTGGATTACTTGCTTTTATTTATTATCCTATTTTTAAAAAAAAATCGTATTCATCCAAATCAAATCAAATAATTTATTATTATAATTAAAAATTAAAAGTATGAGTTATATTTTCATTATAAATACACGGTATTATTTTTCTATTAAAACACCATTTTGTTTTTATTTTCTTATGGATTTTATTACTCCACCTTTATGCTAATTGTTTTTCACCTTCTTCTTTATCTTCTCTTTTTTTAGTTCTTTTCTCATTTTTAGCCCCTTTCGATGAAACTTATCTTTAATACTCCTATACCGACTCTTTTGGAATTAGGACTTCATAGATTGTAGTATAACTTTATGGGAATTGGTTAGAGAGGAGGCTAAATAGAACTAATTAAAAAGAATGAAGAAAAGCCAAAGCAAGTTGAGTACCTCAAGCGATAATTGAGTGCGAGAGGGTAATGTTTTAAAAGGCCACGCGTGGGGCGTTTTATGTAATACAAGGCGAGGCAAAAGCCTTGAGATATGGGGCGTAAGCCCCACAAATTTTTTCATTTTTGAAATTTATGAATTAATAATATAGCACTATAACACAAAAAAAATATAAAGATATATAAAAGTTCAAAAAAAACTAAAAAGAATTAAAGAAACTCCTATAAAATAAAATATCTAGTATGTTTTACAAGTATAAATTATGCAATACTGTTAAAGTTACTATGAAATATAAATGAACAACAACATCTTAACTTTCAAGCAACTAAAAATTATAATTTCTTAAAAAATATTATCAATCTGCATATTTTACCTCCTTAAAAACTCAATAAATTTTATCAACACTGTAATTTAAAATAGTAATTTTATCATGAGTAAAGATAAGTTGTCTTTAAATAGTAAAATAATAAATGTATGATAATTTTTAGAGATATAGTACTAAGACATGAACATCTATCAAGTAAAGATATAAATTTTGGTTATCTATTTTCAAAAGAAATATTCAAATGATATTCACCCTCTCGATGTTCTCAATTAGTAAATATGTAATATTATGATTCGTTATTTGAGTTATTCACAATTTTCATATTCCTATAGATAAAAAGAATTTTAATAATTTATTTGTTATAGAATATTGAGCGTCAACTGTGTTAATTAGTGCATTCAACACATGATTTGCATAAGAACTGTTAGGCGAGTCCCGAGCTTTGAGCGTTAGGCGTGTTTAGAGCTCACAGTCGGACGCTTGAGGGCGTAAGCCTCGCAGAACTAAGCCCTATACATGAGTCTTAAGGCGTTTTGATAGTGCCTTACTCCGGGGCGAGCCCCGAGGCAAGTCCCAAAAAAACCTTTCAAAACACTGCGAGAGGGAAGGCATAATACGCTTAAGAATTGCCTACTAGGACACGACATCCTTCACATAACGTTTTTTCTGTCTTGGACAAAAATGTTTTGCATGATAATGTATTTTAGGCACTATTCAGACAAACCTCAAAAAAAAAAAAAAAAAAAAAAAAAAAAAGAAATAACTTCTTTACAAAGCTCATTCGATAAAGAAGATACAAGCAAACATAAACATTGTAAAATAAAATTACACCCAAAACGCATACAAATAGACAAGATACAAGGCATAATTCACTTTATGTTTGGCTCTTCGTTGATTTATCTGGGAGACAGTCCCTCGAGGTGTCTAAACTTATACAATTCTCTATTAAGGTGATACCAATTAACAACTCAGAAAAGGATATTGATATTTTTTTACTTTTTAGATTTTTCTTGTTTTTATCTATCATTATCTAACAAGTGAAACAATATAGTAGACTGATTGCTTGAGATATTGATATTATTTTTGAAATTTAAAAAAAACGGCAGAGCGACTATTAAAATGAAATTTATTAGGGAAAAAAGTCACAAGCTTCTTTAACCACAAAGAAGTAAAAGGTAGGAGATGTTAAAGTTCATACGCTCTGTATGCATGTGAAAATATTAAAATTTCCTCTTAGTTAGAAAGTTAGGTAATTGCAAAAGATACTTTCCATTGCATACCCCCTTTTACCTTTTTCCTTACTTTGTAGTTTGTACTGTCGCGCAAAATATTATCATTCACATTCTAGTTAAACCAAACAAAATTCATCTAAGAGGGTGGTCCTAAAGGCAAGAAATGCGACCAGCCTTCTGAGTACAGTAAGGTCTTAGTGTTTTTTATTGTGCAAAAATACAAAACTAGCCGGTTGGCTGAAACTAGTTGTATTCACTAGCTGAAAAATATATAAAATATGTATATTTTTGTATATAATACACACATATATATATATTAAAAAAATATATTATTAATTATTATTTTTTGAAGCGGCTAAAAATATACATTTCTCTTTTTAGTTTTTGGTTTTCTTCCCTTGTAATCCTCTTTCATTGAACCACGTTACAATCAATTAAATATTTGACAATTCACATACCAACCCCAAAATAATTAGACCCTTATTAGTCTTGTCACATACTTATATTTTAATGTGAGCAACATTAGCATTTAGCACTACCACCTTCGAATTCGATTAAGACAAAAATCATTAATCTAGAATTATCTCTGTGATTGAATAAACAAACATATTGATAAAATGTATTTTTGCATCTTTCAGCAATTACATAAAAAGGGGAATTTCGCTTTTCTTTTCTTTGTGGCTTTAACTGTCGGAGTAGTAACGAGGAAAGAAGAAAATGAAAAGCAACAAAATTCATCTGACAACGAAGTCTTCGGTAATAAAACAATACTACAGAGACGGGCAGAATATTCTATGGAATCATCCTGTCCATAAAATGGCATCATTTCATCATGCTGATTTGGTTTTCTTACATTCCTTTATTTCAATTTTCTAGGCTCTGTATCCTGGTATTATTACCTCATTAAAACCTACCGCGCTCAAGTTATTCTTTTGTATTTACTACCTGTAGATAGAAACATAAATATGTATTCATATAACAAAATTACACTCCTTTTCAACTCACTGTAGTTTCTGAATTTGTGAATGAGATAAGCTGCTTTTCATTCTCAACGAGTACCTAAAGGAGCAAGGAACTGGAATAAGCCTAGTAAGACTTAACTCTGTGACGAAGCTTCAATCAGAATATCAGTATATAATCTATGGATAATGAACGTAGTACTAAGACGAGCAAAGGGAGTCGATAACAGCTTCAATCACAAAGAACCTGTTCTACATTTATATAGGCTTCGCATGACACAAACTGCGGCAAGTGATTGCCTTACATAGTACAATATAAACAGATTTCTTCTAAGATCGTGCAGCCTAGGGACAAGAAAGCAGAAGAACAGAATTCAATTGGAAAAACAATCAAGAGAACTGAAGTGGAACATCCTGACAAAGGTAATACAGAAAGCAAAGGCTAGTTCCTTCTTCTGGTCCAGGAAGTACCGTGTCCAACAGGCAATAACGTGAGCAACTATGAAACAAAAACTTGGAAAGTGACCCTAATTGGCAAGTGGCAACGGACAGGAAATCCCTCCTAATTTCTTCTACAGCCACTAGACAACGGTTAGATTGAGACAAAATAGACTCCGGGATATGAGATCAGTTAGAAAAACATAATTAGGAAAACTAACTGTAAATCCATATGAGCTGCACATAATTAGGTACATTCTAATTCCTGAGGAAAGTCAGTTCCTCTTCCACGACAAAACTGCGATTTTAGCTAGAAATTCTTGACATAGAACACTATAGCAGATGCATCCTCTCGACATAAGGTTGGACCAACCATCTAGTGAGAGGCTCCCCACAGCCCACAAAGCAACCTGAATTCCCGTTCTGAGTTAAAAATGGGAAGCCGAACATGTTAAGCAACTCCTGTACTGCCTGCCTCACCAAAGAGGATCCTGTCACACGACTCCTACGACCCCATCCTGTCACAATATCAATGCGGCTTGGACAAATTCCCGAGATAAGCATCTGTCGGCGAAACCAGGCAAGTGTTCTTGAGAGTGCTATTATAGCAGTTCCATCTGACATCACATGGAGGTTTATAAGCCAATAACAGGAGCTTTTCTCTCTAACCGCATCAGGGTAGACATTCTTGTGCGCTGCCACCTCCCAGACAGATCCAGCTTCCTCCTTCAGCCCTGATTTGTGCATAAAATCAACAACTGCATCGACAAGACCCCTTTTACTCTCTCTGTCCTCGCTGTGCATCAGATCCAAAAAGCTGCTAACATGATCCCTCACATTCTGCCCATCGGGTCCTGCCGGTGGCATGGTCAGAAGGAATGTGTGTGCTGGGTGACGTGTGACTGCCATGAGCTCACAACAAAACGACATGTCAAATGATGTTTGAGCTTCTGTGCAGCAACTGAGGAGCAAGGTATAAGTTTGCAGAGAAGGGTTTAGACCCAATTCAAGCATGCTTTGAAGCAAGTTGTACGCATCTGGCAAGCGGTGAACCCTAAGGAAAGCACTCAGCAGAGAATTGCACGTAGGCACATTGGGGCACAAACCTGCATTAATCATCGCACAGTACCAGTTCCAAGCTTTTTCTACATTCCCAGCCTTTCCCCATAGGTCCACTAGAAGACCATAGACAGGCTCATCAGGTACCCAATTCTTCCTTTTCATCTCTGTAAAAACAGCCTCTGCTTCCTCCAGATAGCCACAATGGCCAAGCACCTCCATTACAATACTGTATGTCACTTTGTCCGGCTCAAATCCAGCATTCTGCATGTCGCGATATAACTGCAATGCACTAGAATAGTTCCTCGCTTTCGCATGCAAAGCAATCATAATGTTGTAGGTCACCAAGTTTGGCACACACCCCTGATTAACCATCTCACAGAAAAGTTTGTGGGCAGCAGCTAAGTGGCCTGCTTTTCCAAGGCAATTGATGATGACACTGTAAGTGAATGTGTCTGGGGAGAGCCCAGCCTCTTGCATCCTTTCA